AAGCAGGGCCTGCCCACCGTGACCCCCAGCGACTGGGGCCCACCCTTCACCTGCTGACCTCCGGGAGGAGGCAAGCGGGAGAGCCTGGCTGGGGCATTGGCATCTGGACAGGGAGTGTTGGGGACACCTGTCACTCACTTCTCCTGGTCTGGAGTGATGGCACGTGTCCCCGAGGGCACGGGGAGGCCTGCAGGGGCTCGGTGGTGGGCGTGGGCTCCCGCCGACCCGTGTGGCGCCCCAGCTTGAGCCGTCCTCCTGCCCCAGGAGCAGCACCTGCCCCCCGTCCCCGCCCCCACCAGCTACATCCAAAGTTCACGCCCCACTGAACTTTCCCCAGAAGCAAGCGGGCCCAGTCAGCTGTCTGAGGCCTGTCTCCACCCGGCCTTGCCCTGGCCTCTGGCCTCGCCCGGCTCCCACCCCCTCTTCCTGACTTCCACGCTGGTCCTTGCTCAGCACGGGCCCCAGGTCCCCCTGGTGGTACTCCGCCCCGCCTCCTAGCCCCCACGCCTCACCCCCGTGAGGAAGATAGTGAACCTCTGTTGTTTGTGTAGGTTTAAATTTTTCTCTTAGTCTTTGTATTAAATTGTGTGCCAATAAGTACCGTGTTCTGTAATTATAGAAAAGTGCGCCTTTGTTGGTGTGTGTGGGTGGTGCGCGTGGGCCACTGGCCTGGACAAGGTCGGAGGGGATTTCCTGGGGTGGGATGTGAGGGAGGGAGGTACTCCCATGGGGCAGGTGCAGCTGGGCAGCGGGTGGGGAGGCCCCGGCCAGGCACCCACCGTCTTGCAGCTGGCGCTGGCCAAGCTGCTTGGACGCTCAAGAGTGGACAGGGCAGTTCTCTGGTCCGGGACAGTAGGATTCCTCCTGAGTGCATTTCTCTGGCCATGATCTTCATGGTGGACCACGTGATTCTCATCTTTCCGGAGGGTTCTGTGGAGTCAGCAGTGAGGGCCATGGACACGGGTCCAAGTCCAGCCCTGTCCCTTCCCCGATGCTGCAGTCTCCTGACCTGTCCCCGTGTTTTGGACCCAGGGAGGGGGACGAGCTCAGGCAGTCAGTCTGTATGTGTCCCCCTGTCTGCCCCCTCTGCCATCCAGGCTCCTGAATGGTGAAGTGACCCTGCCTCTCCTATTCCTGCATCCTGGCCACTGTGGGATTCCTTCTGTCCTGTGCTGTCATGTCCACTTAGCTGAGCTCAAGCATCATGCCCAGGGAGGTGCATGTTAGACTTGGGAACGTGGTGTCACAGAAATGGGGGCTCTGCAGAGGGGAGCTCCTTGGGTCCCTGAGGGTGAGTTCTCCAAGGGATACACCTGAGGTCCTCCCTGCATTGGGTGGGGCAGAAGGGGCAGCAGGAAGGGCTGGGAACATGGCACTCTGCTCAAGGTTAAGGGTCATGCTTTGAAAGGTGGGGCTGGGTGGAAGACCTCGGGGAGAACAGGTGGGCCCCAGGTCGAGGAGAGATGTGGTCAGAGATGTGTGCACTGGCTGCAAGGAGGTGATTGAGATCAGGGACTAGGTGGTGGCCAGGGTCCCCAGAAGGAGTTTATCAGAGGCAAGGGGCAGGTTTCCCCCTGAGCCCCGAGTCCCCTGAGGGGTGAATCACACTGGGGCTGCCCCTCCCCCAAGTTTTTGGCTCAGCACTTCTGGGATGGGGCTCAGGAATTTGAATTTTAAACTAGTTCCTGAAGCTGCTGGTGGGTGGGGAGGTTTGGAGGCTGGCCTGGGGGCTGTCTTCTCTGGTGACCCTGGTGCAGAGCAGACAGCGGCTGGCTTAGTCCTCGGTCAGGGTCAGGAGTTTGGAGGTGGGGAAGGGTGAGGTTGTGCGGACACAGCTCAGCCGGCAGGGAGAAGGGACTGGAGGGTGTGGAGGGGCTGGTTTGAGAACAGAGAGGTGCCCTTCTCACAGTAGCCTGTCAGAGCCCCTCTGTGTCCCTGGTCAGATCCCCGCCTTCTGCGTCCACCCCAGCCTCAGATCCCTGTGAGGTGCCCCAAGAGAAAGAATCCATTGTCCAGGGAGCAGCGGGGTTTTCTCGGGATGAGCCAGGCTGCCCTGCCGTGACTTTGCCGAGGCTGTGCCTTCAGACCACTGCGGGGGCCTGAACAGGAGGGGGCGGCTCAGGGTGGGACCTGTGGGTGGGCTCTCTGCCTGGTGCTCCGGGGCAGCACAAAGCCGGTCAGTGGCGTTTTGATGACAGTGAGCAATTCCCCGGCTTCCTCCTGGGATGTCGCTGACGGGGCCACTTGGAGTGCACCTTGGATGGGTCGTTGCTAATGCAGACCAAACGGGCTGAGCGTGAGAGCAGGGTGTCTGCCGCAGTTTATAGCCGAGGCCTGTTTACTGCCACTGCCGACCGCATCCGAGTGATGGAGCTGATGTGTTTATGACGGACGCAAGTCCACAGAGCCCGTCGCGAGCGCAGGAGAGAT